AAAGAGCTATATGCAATTTCTTATATACACTGGAAGCATGAATTTCTCTAGCTCATGTGCACATTTTTTCCTCTAAAGCTGAAGCTCAAGCAGTCGCAACACTGGCGACACAAAGTATTGCATTTTAAAACCACTGCCTCCAGATACACTCCTAAGATTTTTAATCTGTTAGTGGCAAAAACCTTAATCATTACAAAGAAAAATAGCAAGAGCCTGTACCACACACTGCAGTTTCATATAAATAACCCCTGAGCAAGAGATGCAGAACTGGAATTGGGAACTCAGGCATGCTCCCTCTGCATCAGCCAACCACTTTGGCGAGACGTGTGGGTGGATGGCACTGAGAGCACCACGGAGCAAAGCTCAGCATTTGGCAGAATGTAAAGCCATGACACAAAAGCAACCACATTTAACTTACCATTCCTGTCTAACCACTCCATTCCTCCTTTCCCCTCGTACCAGTTCAGCCTGCAATTAAAATAAACTTATACCAGTGCTAACAAAAGGGAAAAAAACTTTTCCGTCATGTTAGGCGAGTTAAATCGGCTCACAGAAGCATCTCCTGAGGGTGCACAGCCAAGCCTGGTGAGAACAGAGGAAGAAGTGAGAGCCCCTATTCTCTCAGTAGCCATGAGATGGTAAGACAGCTTACTCCTTGTTGTGAAAACACAGCTTTATCCTACATTACAGCAGCTTAGACATAAATTCAATCAGCAAATTTAGCCAAGGTACCAGGTAAGTAGCTTTCAGTTCAGCTGACAGCTATGCAGTTGAATGCTTTCCCCTATACATGTACAATCCTCCAAAAATTGCATCTTTCACAATTTGTAAAACAATAAGGAATGCATTTTATTTGTAATCTAAAAAGATAAGAAATCCAGGACTATGCACAACCCCAGAATTCAACACAGCAATCTGATTTTAGCGAGTCTTGTCAGCATGCTCCAACAGCCCCATGAACCACTGCAACTCACTGATATAGCAAAAAACTTCAGAGTTTGTAAATTAATCTGATCAGTTAAGAACCTGACCAAAGACAGACGTGATGCAAGGAGAAGGAAGGAACAGTGTGTCCAAGGCAATGGGAGACAGGATTTTATAGGTCTTTCTTGCAACAGAGGGAGCTGTGGTGCTACAGGGGGTTTTGTCTTGTATGTGTTGGTAGCCCATGAACCACTTCTAAAATGGAACCTGTAGAGCAACACGAGAACTAGAAGGGTCACACACCATTAAGCTGACTGAATTTGGCAACTCCACACTTTTCCTAGAAAGTGTTAGAAGTCTGCTATTGAAGTGTTTTGACCATCCACCACTGTTATCATGAAATTATATTCAAGCACACAGGAGCTGAAGCTCTGGAAAAAATGAAACCTCAATTAGTTAACATGCAACTTGTGGCATTTTCCACTTTCTGCAAACTCACTCGAATTCAGATAGTTTACCAATAAAAGCCAAGTGTCCTACAGCTGTTCCAACATTTTCTAAGATCGTGGTTTCATTTACAATCTATTCATACTTCCTAGAAAAGATGGAAAAATCAAGAACACATTGACATATCAGGTAGGATACTTGATTTAATTATGGGTAAGATTAAAATAAATCTTTCAAGTCCTCTGTCTAGTTGGGTTTTGTAACAAAAAAATCTAGTTGTTACTGTAGCATTGATAGTGCTGTACACACAAAAAACACTGCCAGACAAAAGAAAATCACCAGGGTTGCAAACATGGTTGCTTTTGTAGAATGCTTTCAGAAATATCTGAAATTTAGCATTTCCCCTACTGCTACGGTAGCATTTTACATCAGGTTCCCAGTAGTAAACCACCAGAATGGATTTCAGCAGAAGCTCTATGATGAAGAATTGGCTTTTGCTCCCCCGCCACCCCATAACAGTTTTATTCACCTTGTTTCATGCATCACTGTAGTATCTGCAGGCACTGCCACCCTGAAAGCAACGTTCAGGGTTCCACTCCCTGATGTTTGCCACTACTGTTACAGTCAATATTCTCTGTTTCAGGGACTGTTACGTACTCATAGCACACTACAGGACTCAACAGCTCAACCAAGACCAGAACCATCTCGACTAAAAAGAGACAACACGTCAGACATCCCAGTTAAGAGCTAAAATCTGCATTTCTCTGCACCAAGAGGATGAGCAACTACACTGATCTTGTCTGGCAAATGTGTATGTGTAGTCTTGTTTTGAGACTTGGAACACCCAGTAAGTAACCACCCACGGTGCTATTTCCCTTCTCACTCGAGGAAGGTGGAATGAGGGAAAATTATGGGGAAAGGACAGTGACTCCCAGAAGGAGGGGTGGAAAGACCAGAGAGGAACAGGATGAAAGGTAACAAATGAGTAGCAATATTAGGACAGGAGTATCACGTTCTAGGCAAGGAGGCACAAAATAAGGGAGGAGCCAGCAACTTTTGTGCAGAAAACCCTCAGAGATGGGGTCAAACTTCTTATAACAGGGTAGGAGGATATATCCTGGGGAAGGAGAACTCTGCATTTAAGAGAATTACTCTTCCAGCAGCTTGCAGATGAGATCTGCCTATGCCCAAACCTTACCTGCATGAATTAATCGGAGGGAATATCCTGCTCACCAGCTTTTCTCACATACTGAGCAGAATCCGAGTTTTTAACTACTAATATTAAGGTTTCAGGCTACCCTTCCTGACTTGCATTTTAGGTTTGTTTTTACACTATTAGCCCAACAAACTGCTTAAGTGATGCACTAAGTACTCTCCTGGAAGGCTGCCTTTCTATTATCGTTCCTTTTATGAGGCTGTAAATAGCATTCTTAAACAAGCAATAACCCTCACAGTTTTGCAGCCACCCTTTCTCAGAAAAAAAGAAGTTGTACAACCTCACCCGTATTTTTAGCCAAAGTGATAAAGATTTACAGGACAAACCGTTCCCAACAGTCAGTCTCTCCCAAACGATTCCTCTCGAGTGAATAATAAATAGTTGCAAATACTGATCAGGCACACCCGCATTATGGAGCCACCAAAACGCACTAATCAAGAACAGTAGTAGATCATTAATTCGCAGAATAAAAGCCTTTCTCAACAGGAGCTGAAGGCTTGAAAATACTTACTTGTTTTAAAACAATTTCTAGGTCTACAGGACACAGGAACACCCAAACCCAATCGTTTTAAGAGGTGTACTCTTTTCAGAGTGCACTGTTGAAAGTAAAATTATTTATGTAACATAAATTAAGCTTTTTCAGAAGTTACTCCTAGAAAAGCCGTACAGCTTAAGCAAGGCTAGAATACCTTTGTCCCCTTTGCAGTTTAAGCTTTTTAAGTCCACAAAATACCTTGGAGCTCCTATCCCAGCTACTCTTTTACTCAGTGGATTCAGAGTACATTGCATTAGAAGCTGGATATTCTATGCTATGGCCAAAAGCCCTCAATCGTTTCATTTTACACACTTCAAAAATAACTTCCATCCTACTGAGAACACAAAAACCAGAAGCTTTCTAGCCTGTACCACAAGACCAAAGTTATACTCCAAAATGAATGCAGAAAGATGTTTTTCTCTAGTGTCTTAAGAACATCATGCCTCATTTCAGTCCAGCATTCAGTGTTACACAAGTGCTTTAGGAAGCCCACTCTCAGGGACATACTGAGATACCACAAAAAGCTGTAAGCAGCTCAGCTGCCATAACGTTTCTGGGCTGCTTTTCTGTTAAAAACTTGACTGTTCCTCAATCACACTTCATGCCCCCCAAATGTCATTTTAAGGTCTTTCTTTTTCCACAGCCTGTCCTCTGCCACTAGCAGCTTTAAGAAACACAAAATGCCAGACCTTTATAGAATTATTTCATAGCTATAGCAACATCAGAGGAGATAGAAAAAGTGTCCCTGAAAACTGAAGACAAAGGCGTCACCACATTTCCCTGGGCTAAATGCCTTCGTGTATCAGTTAAGCAAGCATCCAACAGGAAGCTCTTGTACTACCCCTGTCCTCAGGCAGGTTTTCCCTGAAGCCCCTTGTGCTGTCCAGTTTCATCCTGGGAGGAAACTACCTCCAACACCAGTTACTGGAAAATTCCAGCAAAATCCCCCCACCTTGTCACCCCCAGAGCAAAAGGGGAAAGCCAGCAGATCGCCATTTTCCAGCTTCCAACGAAAAATCAAGTTTCAAACTATGACAACAAGAAACTATCCCAATGAAACTTCCAAGTACATTTTGAAGAAGTCACTGCCTCTTTTAAGAGCTATGAAATAATACTTAGGGTCACCAGAATCAAACCTTGCAAAGCCAAAGCGTTTTAAACTAACACCACGTAAAGCAAGTTCCTGTTTTTGCATCAGTAGATGTTTGCCACCACAGAAGCAGACAAGATGTTGACCAAGAGCAGTAGATGTAGCTGGCATATGCAAGCATGAGTATCTCTGCTAACTTTTTCACTGCCTTTTACTTATTTATAATTAATTAATCAAAAAGGTGTCCTTTTTTCAACACAGTTATCTTCCTGCCCTATTTATTCGTTTTTCTTTCTCCAGTGGGTTACACGCCGAACACGGCTGTGCAAAGCAGACTCCACAAACCAATTCAACTTAGCATCGGGACTCTGGGGGACCCCAAACCTTTTTCTCTCGCATCTCCACGGCCCCGCCACCCCTCGGTACACGCCCGACGAGCTCCCCCGGAGCGGCACAGCTCCCGCAGCAGCCCAATGCCCCCGCTGCAAGCCGCTCACGGGCAGACCGGGGCTCCGCCGGCCGCCTCCGGGGACAGCACCTCCCGCACCTCGCGGAGGGGCCCCCGTCTCACCTCCTCCTCCTCCCGGGCGGCGGCGCGGAGCAGCGCCCGGTGCCGCCTGGCCGCCCGCCCTCCCCGGTGTGCCGGGGCGGCCCTGCCCCTGTCCCCAGCCTC